TAAGTTTTCAAAGGAAATTTTCCGAATGTGCTGAAACTTGAGAATAAATAATGGCAACTTAGGTTGTTTCTCTTATTTATTAAATTTTTCTTCGACGCATGAATAAAAATACATATGTGAGTATTTAAATAAATACAGGCTTCTTTAATTCTTACTACAACTTGACAAACAGTGCCGTTTGGATTCTGATAAAGTTGGTAGCCTTATAAGGTATTTCTCCCACTTCCCTAGCGTGCCTTCGTGGTGTAGTGGTTTTGCACGCTGGGCCGGTATTCCAGAGGTCCGTCGTTAGATTCCCGGCGAAGGCGGTTGCTAATTTTTCATCTTGCCTGCTTCCAAAAATATACCCAATGTCTCTACAGCCTTTTAGAAGAATTACTGGAATTTATCTTCACAACGGATTGTAAAGACTTATTGTTCAATCGGATTCTTTTCTTACTCACCTTTAACTATAAAGAAAAGACGTTTGTATATAAATGCATTCCTAAACAAAGCGATTATTCTTAGCTCAAAAATTCTTAACTGAGGGTAGTTATTTTTTAAAAGTACGAAAAAGATTAATAAATCTCTACCTTTAAGTATCTGAAGAAACAGAGTTATATAATAATTAAAATATAGAGTTATAAATTAATTAACTTCATTTATAGATTTTCTGGTGCCTTATTCACATTTGTTTTTAACGGTTAATGAAAATAATGTAAACTCGGACTTTATAAGGCATTTTGTCCCTCCTTTCTGCATGTCTTTGTGGTGTACTGGTAGCACACTCGGCGCGTATTCGAGAGGTCCAGGTTCGAGTCCCGGCGAGGGTATTGCTCATTTTCATTTCTCCTACTACAAAATATCTTAATAACTCTACAGTGGCGCCTGAACTAAAAGATGGTGGATGATGATTCTTCAATATCAGGATTTGGCGTTTGGATCCACTAATCCCCAGACTCCCTTTAAAAGGGGGAGTATGTAAAGAATTTTCTCCCTCGTTTCTGCATGCCTTCGTGGTGTAACGGTAGCATACTCGGCCCGTATTCTAGAGGTCCAGGTTCAAGTCCCGGCATTGCAGATTTTTCCTATCTCTTGCTTCAAAGAAAAAGAAAAGTCCTAATGACTCTTAAAATAATTGAAATCTTTGCAACACTATATTTGAAACAAATACATAATTGAAACGGATTCTTGAGCCACATGCGACCTGCGGGCAGCCGTTTTGGGACCACTGATTTAAATATTATTAAACTATGATATCATTTCGTAATCGATTTATTTCTAAATTTTGAACTCGTTTATAAACGTACCACAAAACTGCACTAGCAAAATATCTGCCAAAACTTTTCGGCTTATACACGAAAATATGCAGCAATGGAATTTTATCTAAATTTTCCTTTGCGACGCCATTTTGTCATACATGAGATAAAACGCGGGTAGTTGCCACAAGGCGGAAATGAAAGTATCAGTAAGGATCTTTGGAAAATGAAGCAGGTGGATAAAATGCTTTCGGGGAAACCACTTTTCACACTTTCTCAGATGGATTAGTGGCTCAGAATCAGTGACAAGAAAAACTTCGTCACCCTCAAGCATTTGCAACGTCTCTCGAAATCGATAATGACAATAATAACAATCTTGGATTAAGTTGATGATGTCAATCCGCCCAGAGATCCGCAGAATTGCTCAATGTGTCGTGTAACCTTCAAATGAATTGTGCGAAATTACATGATTTCATTCGTAGGGGGGAGAAAAAATTTAAGGCGACAAATATTTAAGGCCTTGAAAGGGAATTTTTTTCCCTAAAGAGCAAGGACGATAGCTCGTTTAGAAACGCATGGGAGCACCTACAGGTTTAGGGGTTGCCAAACAATTGTTGAAAACTAACCACGGAAAATAAGGTCAGACGAGAAGTCCTGTTATTTGGAGTGCTAATGGTCCAGCTGTTTCCAAACCTTTCAATTCACCCTTGGAAAGTGACTAATCGCCTGGAGTCTAATTTACCCTCCCGCCAACTGACATGTATTTTAATTCTTTGTTTATTTTGTGGTGTCGCAAATGACAGGTTTTTCTTATTGGAAGAAGTTTCTTTTTACTTTAGAAATCAGGTTTGAATAATAATCGAGCTTCCGACTGAGAAAAGTGTTAATTCTAAAGCGATAAGTTTTTACATTCCTTGGTTACTTATGATATTGCTTTTTAAATACATTTCGAACGCGTGAACATCTTCGAAAGGTTACCCCCCTTTTTTTTTTCAGGATTTAAAAGCGAATTAATGATATGAAATTTCCGAACTAGGATAATTACTATTTTTCTTTAAATTAAATAGTATAGATAGTATATACTAAATCGAACTATTTCTGTAATTAAATATATATTAGGCAGAATTATATTTTTTTAATTAAATAGAAAAGAAATACTAAGTCGTGATGTTTTTGTTTTTTAATTAAATACAAAGTATATACACTAAATCGAACTATTTTTGTAATTAAATATATATTAAGCGGAATTACTTAAGTAAATAAAAAATAAACTCCATAAACTCCATAAAGAAGGACTCCATAAAAATGACTCCATAAAAATGAGATGAAAAAGAAAGAGCAACACCTTCAAAGAAGGAATAAAAGCCAATTGTGGAAGAAATGTTTTCAGAAAAGGATGAAAGAAAAATGTTCCTAGTTTCCTGATCCGCGAAATTTGTGCAAAATAAGATAAGATGCGATATTTTCACGTAACATATTACCCTAATAAAGCAATAGCGAGCTACAGTCGAAGCATTTTCAATTATAGCATATTATAGCGTACTCAGACTAACGCCGGGAAAGAAGATCACGGATAAACCACTCAACCAATTTTTATTGCCAGAATATGTGTCTTTAAAAAATCAGTAATTAATTTGTTTTTGAGAAGGTTTAAATAATTGTGCAGTTCACTGCGTATTTTACTTAAATGATGTTTTATCATTTTATTCGAATCCCCTTTGGTCGATGGAAGGCCAATATAGTTTCAAGAGAAGTGACTGCTATTTTGAGACTAATGAGACTGTCAATATTTTCTTCGTTTGTATTTTAAATACCGCTTTCTTCCTCTTCTGTTCTGTGACATTTAAAACGATATCCCCATCACTCGAGCGCTTGTAGTCCGGATCATTTGAATTACCCTCGAACCATTGCTCGATGTTTTCCAGACCGATATTTTCGAAGAATTTAACATTTTTAATTTTTTGGCATACAAATTTAGGTATTACCTCGATGTCTTCACTACTAGTAAAATCTTCGATTTCTGTATTAGATATATTCTTTCTCCATACTTGGACTTTCTGGTGTTTCTTTTTTACACACTCTCGCTTATAACGTTGAATGTGTGTGGGCAGGATAATCCTCACCCGGATAATTGACAATATACTGTATTAAAGAAATATAAAAAGCACTTATAAATTAAAGTTTATAAGTATGCATAATTATGTATTTAAACAACATTTTGCTTTAAGATGTTTCAGTAAGGGTGAAATTCATTTTACGTAAATCTTCTAAAAGAACTCGTGAAAGAACTAATGATACGCAAGAAACACTGAGAGTAAGAATGGACACGACTTTGTAGATACATTAGGTATTTTTGAAAGCCGGAGTCATGAAAAATGAGCAACGCCTTCGCCAGGAATCGAACCACGGACTTCTGGAATTCGCGCCCAGCATGCAGACCACTATACCACTAAGGCATGCTAAGAAGGCGGGAGAAATAAATTTTTAACTTGAGAAAAACCATGTCAAAATATCACAAGGCTGACTGTTTCTAACAGGATATGAGGAAGTGTTGTCACTTGTCCATAGCTGGTTACACCTGTTAGAAAACTTCATGTTCTTTCAGTGATGATGTGCGCTATGTGAACAAGTGTTACATGACATTCTTTATAAATAGTTACTTTTCCTATTTACATAAACTTCGAATCAGCAATACTAAAACTTATTTCATAAAATTTTTTAGCTTACTTTGAAAAGCTTTTTAATTGGTACTACACGTGTCTAAAGAAAATCTTTAATGAAATTAAGTCTATGGCGAACTTCCCGGATTTCCTATATATTCTACATTTCCTGTGTGGTTGTTACTTTGGTGATTTCATGTTATTTGTTTCTCCAAAATTGTTAAATCAAACTCTGATGAATAGTTACTCTGATATGCTCCAGTGTTATGAATTGTAATGTTAATGTAACCCGGATCTTTGTCATTTGTATTATATCAGTGAAAACAGTTTTGAAATCAATTTTGTATTCTAAATCCGAAATTTAGATAAATAAGAAAAATGCATAGAAATCGGTGATATAAAATCTTAAACAAATTACTAAAATATTCAACATCGAATTATTGAATTAAAACAGTGAAATATGTGTAAGGAAATGTAAATTTCTATTTAAAAAAAAAGAAAGGCATTATCAAAAATCATAATAGTTAACTACAAAAACTACATTTTTTTTTTTTTTTTTTTTTTTTTTTTCCGAGCCTTCAATTAACGTAATACGCACTTTTATGAATTACGGTGTTAATCTAGGTAAAACCCAGCTGCGCAAATAAAGGAGGGAATCCATGCATTTGCATGGAGGTAAGAAAGGTTTTACTTCCTACCTCCAAACAACAATTGGCATTTGCCAGGGGAATTTAATGACCTCATAAAGTGAGATAAGTTTTCCTCTCCCCTTAAAAATTACGGGCGTCTTTACACTTTCCGATGAAGACATCAAACAAGAGTCCCCTCATTCTGCTCAGTTTTATTCTTGGAAGTCAAACAGCAGCCAACAGAAGAAGAAAAACAAAGAATTACATATCACAAGAACAACCGAAGAATATTTAATACGTAGGGTTTTTTTTTTTTTTTTTTTTTTTTTTTTCAACCTCCGATCGCACAGTATGATGGCCAGGTATGCGGCAGGTGGTTGATGTGCGTAGTAGGCGACTGCGCATCTCCTCCACACTCTCTGTCACTGGCGTATTCAACACGCCATTTTCTGTTGAGTTGCAGTCACGTAAACATGGCTGTCGCTATTGATTCTCCCGCCAAGTGTGAATTGCGAGCTGTTATTTGTTTCTTGCAGGCAGAAGGGAACAGTGCAGCGAGAATTCACCGAAGAATGAGTCGAGTGTATGGAAACAGCTGTATGAGTGATGGCGTTGTTCGTGAATGGTGTCGAAAGTTTAAAGATGGCCGAACTGATGTGCATGACGAAGGGGGTCAAGGACGCAAGTCTGTCGCTGCAGACGACATTGTTCAACGAGTTGACCAAGCGGTTAAGCAAAATCGAAGATTCACCATAAGTGAATTATCGATGAAATTTCCAAAAGTTTCAAGATCTTCCCTGTACTCTATCATTACTGAACAGTTGCGCTACAGAAAAATGTGCGCTCGCTGGGTCCTACAGATGTTGATGACCACCACAAAACTCGCCGAATGGTTGCAGCGTTTGAGTTTCTTGACCGTTACAATACTGACGGAGAAGAGTTTTTGAAATCCATTGTGACAGGTGATGAGACATGGGTTCAATATGACACGCCCGATACGAAACGACAATCACAACTATGGATGCACACAAATTCTCCTAAGAGACCCACAAAATTCAAACGAACATTTAACAACCGTAAGGTTATGGCAACTGTTTTTTGGGACCAAAAAGGTGTGTTGCTTGTGGAGTTTATGCAGTCTGGAACAACAATTAATGCAGATTCCTATTGTGAAACTTTGCGACGCTTACGGAGAGCTATTCAAAACCAACGAAGAGGCATGCTGACTTCTGGAATTGTTCTGATCCACGACAATGCCCGTCCTCACAGCGCTCGTGTAACCCAACGGCTCCTTCAGCAATTTCAATGGGACATTTTTGAACATCCACCATATAGTCCCGACCTAGCGCCAAGTGACTTTCATCTGTTCCCCTAACTGAAGCAGTGGCTTGGCGGGAAGCGCTTCCAAAATGACGTGGAGCTGAAAGAAACCGTCACAACTCACTTCTAATCATTAGCGGGGACATTTTATGAAGAGGGTATGACAAAGCTTGTCCACAGATATGACAAATGCCTCAATCGTCAAGGTGATTATGTAGAGAAATAACCTGTATTGTACATTACTTTTGGTTATAAAATCTTTTTTGTATATTCACCCGTCTTTTCTTTATAGCCCATCGGAGGTTGAAAAAAAAATAGCCCTCGGATAAGTACTTAAATAACAATAACAAATGCAAAACCTAAAGAATTAAACTTCTTTCATTAGTTACAGTATTTGAGCAAATATTATTATAACAGTATTATAAATTAAATAATTATAAAGTATATGAATTATATCTTTTGTAAACCACATCCGTTAACGCTGTTTAATTTAATATCTTTCTTTGATCATAAATTAATGGAATCTGAACTAAACTGGAAAATTTAGTGTAGGCTTGCAAACTATTATTCGGTATCAGAGTATGTTAACTGCGTGCTAGAAATGATTTTTGTTAATTAAAGTAATCAAGTAATGTTAAAATAAAAAGTTTATTAAAATTATTTATTAAGTTATTAAAGTAAATGTTTATAGAAATGATTACTTAGATATATTTGTTTCTTGTGAGTTAGACGTGTTACAAATTACATCAGTGATAGTATTAAAAGCAAATTAAAATACAATTTCATTGCTTTTAAATTGCTGAAATTAAACTGAATAAAGTTTTAATTTGGAAAGTAAATTAAAGAATTTATACCCCATTTAAGGGTAAATCTTTGAGGTATGTGATTGCCAAGAAGAGTCAATGATAAATTAGATCTATGCACTTTGAATTGGCAATGCTTTGCCAGGCCGCATAAATAATAAATGCTGTTGTAACGGCAGCGTAACGGTTGGAATGGAAAACGATAGTTCGAAAAATAGAAGACTAAATTATAGACGCTTTTTCATGCCAGTGATAAATATATATACATGTATAATACGATATAGATATATATAAATACGATACATATGTAATATAAATACATATATAATATAAATACGATATACATATGTAATATAAATACGATATACATATATAATATTGTTACGTTTTTCTCTTCTGACACCAGTTGTTACGTTATTTTCTTCCCTCACGTTCGTACGGGGTTCGTGAGGATTTGGAGTGAATAATGACAATACTACTTGATGAAGTATCGAAACACACTCTATTTACCAATATAAAGGCCAGTTTACATCTGTCAAAGCTGCTCGTAGCGAGCCGCTCGTCCGGGCGTTTCGAACCGAGTGAACGGACCTGTACTCTGATAGATTGTTTACACCAATCAGAGTGGACAGACAACTCGCCTCCGTTTGCTTACGAAATGGATACCGACGTCGCAGCTGCAGGAAAAAATATGCATTGAACATACAATAGATGTTCTTAGGCTGCAGTGCTTGAAGTCTGCGAAGCAGTTTCAAACGAATTAATTTCTGCTCTTGGGAGGAAAAAAAAAAGAAGAAAAAAAAATGGGTACGTGATTGGGTAGCTTGCCGCTATGAATTAGGAGTATCAAATGAACTATTAAATGAATTTCGGACGAGAATGTCCAAAGTTACAAAAAAAGTTATTGCATATCAGATACAAGAATTTAAAAAAGAAACTCAGTTTGAGAGAAGTTATTTAGTCAACTGTGGTTACTGAAAGTCAAAATTAACAAAGTTTTTCTACTATATACAAACTGTTTATTACACCTAATTAATCATTTACAAAATAATGTAAAAGTCAATATATGTGTTTTATTATTTATTAATAGAAAGAATATATTTATTCATCCAGAATCCACAGAATCAGTAGCTTTCTGTGCATGAATTAATTATGGAGAGTTCTGACTGGAACTGTGTTATTTCTAGAGAAGAATGCAAAATTAACACATGGAATATTTATTCAAAGCTACCATTAACACGACAGACGTAACACTGTATGATATCTACCTAATTATTCCAGAAAATCTAAATAAATAAGAAGTAGCAAAAAAACTTGGGAGCATTACATATATTACCACAGGTAAAAGATTATATATATTATGACATAGTTCCAGAGGAAGATATTTATCGCAAATTGTTACTTTTGGATCCTACTGAAATTGTGTTTCTGGACAACGCACAAAGTGATATCAACAAAATTAATAATCCGTAAATATACTGATTATATTTTACTTTTAAAATGCTAAAACGGATAGTTTTAAGGAGATTAGAATTCATCTAGCATAATTGTATAAAAACCTTAATACCCTTCAGTACTCGCACTCACACATTCCAAGCTGAACAGTTTCACATGCTAGCGGAATTGTAACAATTATAGCCCAGAATGTTTTTATACAAAAGCAAGAATTTAAATATCCCCAATAAAACAGATCTACATATCTTTTCATAATTATTTTTATTTTTTATTTTATAGTTTATCATATATTTATTGTCCTCCTCATGTAGGGATGCTTGTAGAAAAATGATATAAGCTCACATAATTATAGAAGTAAAACACTTCATAAGATGCGTATGCTAAAAAACGCCATGGTTTGGCTATCGCTTAATCTCAGATTATAGAACTATTTGTCGACGTCCTGCGAAACGCTGCTCGGAGTAACTGCCCGGAGAGATTTTCACAGGTTCAAAGTAGAAACGGAAGCGCTGACTCATCTCCCTACGTTTATACTCCGTCGAAGTGAGCGTTTACATTGTCAAAGTAATCTTAAGGAGCGACTCGCTCCGAGCCGCTCTGACAGGTGTAAACTGACCTTAAATCAGGAAGCTCCAAAACACTTTTACAGTCGTCGAAGATCTACTGTAAACACGCCGACACGATCAGCGGCACAGCCTTCAAGTTATCAGGTTAACACAGTGGAGACAGCTTCATTGCAAAGCACCAGAGTACAGCTCCCGACTCTTCGGTTCAGTCGTTCCCGGAGCTCAACACGCTCTCTAGACGATGCACTAACCGCGAGGCACTAAGAGACTCCTTCGGTGCACTCGACGACCCACTCGGCATTCGCTGGCCGGCTGTCAACTCGATCGTCTCCGCACGGACTAACTAGATGAGACACTCGCACTCTAGACGAGACGCACTCACTGGCCCTCTCGACGAGGCACTCTAGCTTGCCCTCTCGATGAAGCACACTCTCGATACTAACTGACTGACTGCGGACCAGCAGGGTTTATATAGCTTTCGGCTTGTGTTCGAGAACATTTTGGGCTAAACCGGTAAGAATTGGTTCCAGAAGGTTCTCCATCAGTCCATGGCCTATCTCCAATTTTGTCGCCAAATGGGCGATTTCTCACCAAATGTGGAAACTCTGCCTTCCCTTGCCATTTTATGGCAACCCTAAAACTGCTTTGCGGGGAAGCCATCTCACCGCGCCTTGACATTTCGTAACAATATAAATACGATATACTAGGGAGTGTTAAAAATGTAAAGTTTCTAATAAAACTAAACAGCATAAATAAAAAAGTAAATACCAGCTTAACATAAAATTCTATCATAATAACAATTTTATATGTTTGGAATTATTTAAGTATAATCATACGTTTTTAATTAAATTTAAATTGTTATGCTAAGAAGGTTTTCTAAAACTTACCTAGAAAAGAAGGATAATATAAACTGCGCTACAAATCAATATAGTATCTTCTTCGAATAATTCAGATCCAGTAATTAAAATGTTATCCTATTCTTGATGTAACTCAATATCTACCAAATAAAATAAAATAAGTTTACTTTGCAAAAATTGATTTATTTTTATTTACTTATTATTTTTAAATTTTTGGTTTCAAACGTATTTTTGCTTTTCAGGAAAAGAAAAATCGCCTGAATGATGGAAGCTCATAAAGTTAAATCCTTGAAATATGGAATATTCCAGAATTAGCATATTAAGTCAATTAGATGGAATTAATGCATATTTTAACATTATCCTTATGATTAAAAAATTTCCATATAAATTGCGAAGAGGTATCACTCAGGCATACTGAGTCAATTTCTGTGCTTACTTTTTTTATTATTATAGGGATATGCAGAGATTCGCTAAGGTAAAGGCGAAATCACCAATGCATAAAATTTTGTATTTTATTATGTATTTATTATTTTTAACCGAGAAATTGAAAACATATACATGCAGGGAAGTTATGCGACAGAAAACATGCATTATTTCCATACTAAATACCTACCGAAAAAGGAAAGCTCCTTTTTCGGTAAGGTTTATTTAATTTGCATTATGGTGAAACGAAGTACCGATGGTAAGGATGCTTTCTTGAAAGAACTTTAAAGAAAATTCGCTTATATTCAAGTTACTCATGAGGGGAAATCACAAAAACTGTCACGCAGCCAACCCTTTCACCAGTATTTGAACTCAGGTCAAACTACCAGTGTTTAGGGACTTACCGCTTGGTGATTGGTAGTCTGAAGAACTCTTGAAATTAGTCTAATGACCTGTTATGTGTTGAACAGTATATTCAAGAATATTGAAGTTACGATACTAGTACACACAATAGTGTTCTGAA